TGTTTTATCTTATTATATTTTATGTTGCTATATTTTTTAATGTGTGAATAAATGATGGATGTAAATCTAAGCACTAGGGTAAAGGTTAACAACAGAATTGTCATTTATACTTACTGCAAGAGGAAAAATCAGTTTTCTCCACTGGAATGATAATGGGTATATCAACCACTCCAGAGAAGATCTCATGTTCAGTAGTATTTGATCAATAAATATTGTAATACACATGGTGTGTGTGTGTGTGTGTGTGTGTGTGTGTGTGTGCTTTTATTTAGTCACTGTTTGGGGGGAGTGATTTTAAGTGAGTTGTTTCCTAGGTTTGAAATATTTTGTTATATTGTGGATTTGTTTTGTCTTTTGCTTTTGCTTTGTTTTGTTTTTCTTTTTGAGTGATTTGTTTTCTAGGTTTTGGGTGCTTCGTTGTTGCATTGAGGTTTGGTTTGTATTTTAAGAAAGGATTTATAATTGAGTGCGTAAGAAGGAGAGTATCTGAAAGAACTTGGAAGAGAGGAAACTATAATTAAAACATATTTAAATCTAAAGGTTGTTTCAAAGAATAAGTAAAAAGAGATAATTTAATGATGTGTCTGGAAAGAAGAATAAGTCAAAATCCAGGTCAGATAATGAAAAAAAATCATTAAAATCAAGGAATAAATTAATGAAATGGGGTGGGAAAAATACAGAAAATCAGTGAGACAGACAAATGATTCTCTAACTTTTAGTGGTATTGACCAGAGGGAGGGAGATAAAAAGAGAGACATTATAACAGATACCAAGGAAATTCAGAAAAATCAGTAGTTCTTTGAAAACATACATTCCACTAAATTGAGAAGCCTTAACAAAATGGATAAATATCTAGATGCATGTGACTTACCAAACTTAGCCCAGATGAGATAAACCATTTGGACAGAGGTATAACAAATAAAAATGACAGATAAATTTTTCTAATAAATGAAGATAAAAAATTTCTTAGTAAAATACTTGCAAACTGAAGTCTTTTTTCTTTTTTTCTTTTTTCTTTTCTTTTTTTTGGGGTTTTTTTTTTTGAGACAGGGTTTCTCTGTGTAGCTCTGGCTGTCCTGGAACTCACTCTGTAGACCAGGCTGGCCTCGAACTCAGAAATCCGCCTGCCTCTGCCTCCCAAGTGCTGGGATTAAAGGCGTGCGCCATCGCTGCCTGGCTGCAAACTGAAGTCAAAACACATAAAAAATCATTCACCATGATCAAGTTGGGTTTATTTTACAATATCACTGGAAGTTCAATATACATAAATCAGTAAATGTTATAAATGATATAGATTCAAGGAAATAAATCATATTGTTATTTCACTAGGCACACAAAAATCCAACATCCTTTATTGTTAAAAGGTCCTGAAGAAATTTGTAATTGAAAGAGCATATCTCTACAGACCACAGGTTACATATGACAAATCTATAGTCAACATATATTAAATGGACAAAAATCCAAACCCTATACAGGAAAATGAAGAACAGAACAAAGAGATCCACTTTCTTTACTCTTATTCAATATAGCACTAAGAGTCATAGCTACAGCAATAAGACAAATAAGACAATAAAAGAAATGCAGCTAAGAGAGGAAGAAGTCAGTATCTGTATCTGCAAAGGACATGAGTAAAAATATAGGGAGACAGACAGACAGACAGACAGATCCCTGAAGAGTCCATTAAAAAAAAAATCTTAGAACTTTTAAAAATTTTCAGTAAAATGATAAAATACATAATTAATGGTCAAAAGTCATTAGCTTTCTTATATAATAATAAACATTTCTACTGTGAAAGACATTAGGAAAACAATCCTATTTACAATAGCTTCAAAACAAAATACCTTGGAATAAATTAGGGACATATAAAAGATACCTGTAGAAAATCAATATTTGTTAAATATTTTCATTAGTTACTTTTCTGTGGTTATAATAAAACACTGTAACCTAGCATAAGGAAGAAAGGGTCCATTTTGGCTGAAAATTCCAGAGTGGTAGAGTCCATCATGACAATCATCAGACAGTGTGTGAAGTGAGAACAGGGTATAAGCAGCCGATCACATTCTCATCCGTATACAAAAAGCAGAGGGGGGAGGGAGAGGGAGAAGAGGGAGAGGGAGAGGGAGAGGGAGAGGGGAAGGAGGAGGGG